TCCCACACTTGGGTCTCCTTCCTCTTCCTCCATAGCCTACCTTCAAACTCTTCCTTCAAATATACATTCCATTTTTCTCCCACCAGTTCATGAAAAAGACATTATTGCTCACCAAAACGATCAGCCAGTTCATATTGCAGTCCAAATTCAACGCGTAGTGACTCTCTCACTGCCATATATTCGTCAGGAATTGGAATCCTTGAGCTCAAGAGACGGCCTTTCAGCTTTGGTTGCTGATCCTTTTGCCTTGGAAGCGCTAGAAATTGCTTCCGAACTCAATATATTATCTTATGTATACTGCCCCTTTTCTGCCATGGCTTCATCTCTTTACTTGCGTGCACCAATGTTGGAGAAGACAATCTCTGTGGAGTTCAGAGACCTACAAGATCCCATAGAGATGCCAGGCTGTGTGCCAATACAGGGAAGAGATCTCATAGACTCTCTTCAAGATCGAAGCAACATAGTTTACGAGCAATTTCTTGAGCGTTGCAGAAGAATCAGTCATGCTGATGGAGTTCTTGTTAATAGTTTCTCAGAATTGGAAACTGAGACAATTAAAGCCTTACAAGAAGAGTTCAAAGGAAAGCCCAAGATTTACCCCGTAGGACCCATATTACAAAGTGGGTTATGTAGTGAGCAAGATATTAACGGATCGGATTGTTTAAAATGGTTGAACAATCAAAATGCCAGATCAGTTCTATATGTTTCATTTGGGAGCGGAGGGACAGTGTCTCAAGATCAACTTAATGAACTTGCTTTCGGGTTGGAACTAAGTAGTAAGAAGTTCTTATGGGTTGTGAGAGCCCCAAGTAAAATTGCTAGTGCCACTTATCTTGGTTTTGAAAACAGGAATCCTTTAGATTTCTTACCAGAAGGGTTTTTGGAGAGAATCAAAGGCAAAGGTTTGGTCATTCCTTCATGGGCACCTCAAATTCAAATACTTAGCCACAAAGCAATTGGTGGGTTTTTGAGTCATTATGGTTGGAATTCCATTCTTGAGAGCATACAGAAGGGAGTGCCATTGATAGCTTTTCCATTGTTTGGAGAGCAGAGAATGAATGCTGTTTTAGTAACCAATGGCCTGAAGGTGGCATTAAGGCCACAGGTTAACGAAAATGGCATGGTGAAAAGGGAAGAAATTGCAAAATTGATAGAGAGTTTGATGGAAGGTGAAGAAGGTAAAGAGATTCGTGCAAGAATGAAGGATTTAAATGATGCTACTGCTAATGCACTGAGTGAAGAATTTGGTTCCTCTGCAAAAATACTCTGTCAAATGGCACTCAAGTGGAAAAATTTTGGTGGGATTGAAAAATGATAATTTTTTTTAATATTTTGGTTTTGTTTTCCAGTTATTGATTCTAGCTTATTGTTTCGTATTGGAATATTAAATTTGGTTCTTGGTCAATCCAAAATCAGAAAAATTGTTGTGGGGAAAGAAATAGTAGAAACAAACTTTTATTGCTTTTGTCGAATATTTTTTATTGTCATTTCCATATTTATTTAGATTGCTAGTAAATTTTATTGAAGCGAAAAAACTGTCTCCAAAAATCAAGATCGTGGGTAGTGACTCTGCCACCTTAGGTGAAATTGTTAGAGGAACCTAATAATTATATAATTTATAAATTTTTATACTCCTCTGGTCCTTAATGTAAGACCCATTTAACTAATTTGATTAGATTAAGGAAGTTAGGTAAGTTAATTAATTATAAGAAAAGTGACACATTTTTCCTAAAACACCATAATCATCTTTTTTAATACCTCCCCTCCCTCTTCTATTTGATTATGGTTGAGGGAGTATCTATAGGGGTAATTTAGAGAAAATTGATAAATATGATAAATGGGTCTTATATTTAGGACCAAAACCAACTCAAGAATTGGGTCCTATATTAAGGACCGGAGGAGTATCATTTTTCTTATTTTGTTGAGTAGTGAAATTGTTAGCTTATAAATGTTTGTTGAGTAGTAAAGTCATTTATAGAAGTTGTATAATCATATCATTCTAACATTTTGCTCTGGATAAATAATACATTAAGAATTAGATCACCAAATAACTTGATTAATTTGTTTGCATGATAAAAATATATTTATTAGGCCAACAAATATTAATCCAAGATGGCAAAAAAAAAAACATAAAACAAAAATTAGTCTAAAAACTTTATCCATAACTTTATTAATTAAGCGGGCAATCTGCAATTATCTCTATTTTAAATTCAAATAATGTGCATACGCCTTGACATTTATGATCTCTCTTGACCCAAATCATCAAAACTCTTTAATGTAAAAAGAAAATAAAGAAATATATTTATTCAAAAATAGGATCAATGGCTAAGAAATTATCATCTAATTAAAATTAAACCACGGCTATAAAAAAACAAGGGGAATTTTCAATAATTGCAGCTTTTACCCAATAGTTTTGCAAAATTACACTTTGATTCAAAACTTACCAAATATCCACATAATGCTCAAGGCAAGCACGTATTAGGCCCCCATTAGTGCTTATGAATTTCAACTGCAAGACAAAAATCTAACGTGGATATAGTTCAGTAATTGATGCTTCATTTACTGATTGTTGAATAGAGTTATTTCCTCCTTCATTTGATCTTGTTGCTTCTGAACTGTACTCCCTTAAATGTATCTCTGATGAACCTCTGGTGTTTATTAAAAGTGGAGGCTTTGAAGGAAAGGGAAGAGAGGAAGAGTAGCTATTCAGCATAACTACAACTGAAGCCATGGTTGGCCTATCAGCCACATTTTCTTGAACACATAATAACCCAATATGGATGCATCTCATTATTTCATTTCTTGAACCATTGTTTAATATAGGATCTGCTAAATTGAAAGCCGTCCCGTCTCTCCAATTTTTCCATGCCTACAAAAAGTTTATCATCAATGATAAACATTAATCCCAAGCTACTTTTACAATTACATGTGAGCTAGTCATGATACATAGAACAACCACAACAACAAAATCTTGTCCTACTAAATGGGGTCGGCTACATGGATTGTATAAAGCCTTGAACTCTATTAACAATCAAATATTTGGTTAGGTTACTAAATGAAAAATCCTGCTTAATAATTTCATTGAGTGTTCTCTTTGACTTTCTTCTACCCTACAATCTTAATTTTATGTGTATGTATTGAAAGATGACAAATACATGTATGCATGAGTGAAAAGAGGAAAGGGGCTTACATAGCTTAATAGATCATGGGCGTTCTCTTCATCAAAGACACTGTTGTTCTTTTTGCCACTTACAATCTCTAGAACCAATATGCCAAAACTGAAAACATCTGATTTGATGGAGAATTGTCCATGCATTGCATATTCTGGTGCCATATATCCACTAAATGTCAAGATAATAATGAGCTTAGTTAGATGTGTTAGTTGTGAATAAGTATTGTGATTTTTGATTGATAATAAGGCTAGCGATATACTTACTAAGTTCCAACAATTCTGCTGGTATTGCTTTGAGTTTGGTCAACAACAAATAGTCTTGCCATACCAAAATCTGATATTTTGGGATTTAACTCTTCATCTAAAAGAATATTACTTGCTTTGAGATCTCGATGAATAATACGTAATCTTGAATCTTCATGAAGGTAAAAAGGCCACGAGCAATGCCTCCTATGATTTTGTGGCGCATAACCCAATTCAAATGAACACTCTCATTCATATCTGCAATATTTTCATATCTATTTAAGGCTATGATCCATTGAAACTACGTCTACAATATGCATTTTGATTTTCCTCCAATATAAACGAAAGAATAGAAGCACCATGCATCAAATTAAGACAAAAACATCCCTATAACTTACCAAACAATAAGTAATCAAGGCTTCTATTGGGAAGAAACTCATATACCAATAGCCTTTCTTTCTTTTCCAAGGAGAAGCCCAATAATCTCACTAAATTGCGATGTTGGAGTTTAGCCACCAAAAGCACTTCATTTTTAAATTCTAAATCTCCTTGGCCGGAATCCATGGACAACCTTTTAACAGCAATGTCTTGCCCATTTGGAAGCTTGCCCTGCATTATTTATTAGAGTTGGGGCGTGCAATTATTTAATCAATACCAGACTACACGCACACTCACACACACATGACAATTTAATGTTGTTTACCTTATATACTGATCCAAACCCTCCTTGTCCAAGCTTATTGGCAATAGAGAAGTTATCTGTGGCGAGTCTTATGGTGTTGAAATTAAATTGCAGTGACTCAATTGGTTTAATTTCATCATCATCATCCTTTGCTTCAGGTTGATCAGCTAAGAAAAAAGTCAAACAAAAGATGTACCTGAACTTCTTTATCCATTATCATGATAAAAAAAAAAGTGATTTTTAAAAGTCCTATTTAAAAGTACTTTTTCACAAATCGAGATAAACTTTTTACATATTTATTTCGTATAACGTAAAAGTATTTTTAAAACCATAGTTTTGATCCAAGCAACCCCCATTAAAATTAACAATGTTCAAAGAAAACATTATTTTGGCTTACTTTCAATTGTTTTCTTCGATCTCCGAACCATAAAATAGATGCAGATCAATACAAGAATCGCGATAAAAGCACCAATAGACACAGCCACGATTATGACTGTTCTTGATGTACTGTTGCCATTTCCTTACCCCCAAGAAAAAACAAAAGAAAGATCAGAAGCCAATTAACATATTTATTGACAAGATACAGAGAGAAAATTGCAAAAACAAAATTCATACTATTTAATACTCCTTCTTTGTATAAGATAGTAATAACTGAATTACATAGATAAAAATTAGGTTAATATTGATTAAAGGTAATATGTGTATAATCAATAAAGTGAGACTAACGGATAATTAATTTGGGAAAAACAAAAAAATAATACTAAAAATGTTAAACAGGATATTAGTTACTCTTATAAATATGTCATTTCTAAATAAATTTCTCATACATATAGAGGACGGAAGAGTAATTGCTTTAATTGCTTCTTTGCCTTGAAAAAAAAGAGAGGAAATTTCTTTATTAATTTAGAAAGAGGAGTAAGTACTTTCTGGGGAAGACAAAGCTTTAGGTGAAGCAGAAGTTCCTGCCATGACATAAAAAGAAAGAGGGAAAAAAAACTTATGCGAATTTGGGAAATAAATCACGTTTGTTGATTATTCAAGTTAATTAACTAACATTGGATTCCTAATTAAGCATAGTATTAAACTATACAGTGTTACGTTAATCAACATGGGATAAGGTACTATTTACCATGTGAGCACACTTTACAAATTTAACATAAATAATAATTGCCTGATGGCAAGAGTTTAGATATGATATATATATATATATATATATATTTATAAATGAGTGCTATTTAGCATGTGATAGTTAGGTAATAACTTATATAAATAATTGTCTTTTCACTCTGAAGTTGAGGTCGCATATATATGTATACTCACACAATTGATAGGGAAAATTAACTACACTATTTATAACTCATAAAATGATCAGTTTATTATTTAATTAGAAGATATATAAACTGATGTATGGACTATGGGTTATAAGTCTTATCTATTGGGAAAAAGATACAAAAATATCTCACAGATCTGTAAATAACAATTCTGGGCCTTAAAATATCTAATTACTTACAGTAACGTCCCTAAGGAGTTGTCCTGGATTAAATTTTATAGTAAAATTACTTAAATATCCTTAATTTGAAATTTGAAAAAGGAAAAAAAAATGGAATGACAACAAGTTTAATAAGTAAAAAGTTTAATTTATCGAATAACAACTACAACTAAGATAGTAATAGCCAATTTCACAAAAATTTCGTAGAAGGCAATTAAGTCATTTAAGAAAAAAAGAAGTTATAGCATAGTCCCAAAATAATTGAAAGGAATTAAGCTATTTCCAGTGATCATTTTGGAATTCTTATATATAAGTTGTCCTTGTGTATGATTTCTCCCTTTGTCTTTTTTCCCCCTTGTATAACTCAAAATATTCTCAAGTTATTTTAGACTTTGAAACTAATATCTGTTGGGAGCGTTAAGGTTAAAGTTCTTCTAATAAGTATGTTTCCCTGTATTCAAACTTGTGTTCTTCTTCTTATGGAAGCACTTACCATCTTAACCAACTTGTTGGTTGATTTCTCCCTTTGTTATTATTTAGCATTAAATGAACATACTACCTCCGGTCCTAATTATAAGACCCAGTTGACTAATTTGAGGAGATTAAGGAAAGAAGTTAAGTTAGTTATTTATAATAAATAGGTATTGCCTTTCCTAAAATATCCTTACTAATAAACTATATTGGTTAGAACTACAATTATTAGAAGGACTATCTTGGAAAAAAAAACATAAATATGAGAGACAAAGTGGATTTGGGTTTTATATTTAGGACCAAAATAAAAGTCAAACAGGGTCTTATATTAAGGATCGGAGGTAGTATATAGATTGGCATGGTGATCAAATAGAATATTTTTAAAATACACATGGAAGTATCTATCATATAAAGATCAACAGTACCTTGTGGGGAAGACGTGTTGGATGGTGAAGCAGCTGGAGGAGATGAAGATAATGAATCGACAACCGCAACATCATAGAATCGAAAATTCTCATATCTAACATTGCAACTCAGTTTGATAATCCTCCCACCAATCTTGTTGTTACAAACCCTGGGAATGCTCGCAATCGCCTTCTCCAAGCAGTCGCCGCAATCTTGCTCAGACAAATCAGGAATGCACTGAGCAAGACCATACACAGTTTGAAACAAAGCTGCCGCCGTACCAGCGGCAAACTTACGACGAGTATCGCCGGCAGCGGCTTTACTTCTCAGCCTTCGCATTAGACCATCAAGAACTTCATTGTACTTGTCGTCTGTTGCATTATTTCCGTTACACATGTAGTATAAATAATTAGGGTCTTGGTTTATCCCAGACATGGAACGATTAGCGTATCGTAAAATGCACCCATCATTGAATCCATATCCTTCTTTCTGATTTGGGCATAGCTTTCGTAGAAGGATTGTGGCATTGTTGAGGCAACTACGACAAGAATCTGGCTTAACATCTGCTCTACACAGTCCAAGGGCGTTGACCCTATTAGGGTTTTGGCCTTCAGAGGAAGTGTAGTAGCCATAATCAATTTTTGGGTCGGAAGTGAGATTAGAAAGAAGGGTTTTAAGGTTTGTGTCGTAGGAACTTGTGTTTGTGTAGTTACCAGCACTATTGAAACACAAATGATGTAGAAAGTTTTGCTGTGCAGTAGTGAGAATGATGGCGAAAAGCCGGTCCTCCAGGGCTGAATTTTAAAAATCCCATTTGCTAGGCCCAGGCCCTTAAATTACAGGGCCAGGGTCGGCCCACGGGCTTTTGGCCCGTTTAAGTAAAATACCATTTTTATATTTATCATATTTTGTATAATATAAAAATAAACAATGAATTATTAATAAAAGACATAATATAATAAATAAGTAACAAATTATAAAATATTATCATATATAAATATTCATCAACATCTAAGAACATCTAAAACATTCATTAACAAGATACAACATCTCTAAAAGTTTTATCTATAATGCAATTGTGCATAAATAAACACTATCTTAATCTTTTGAAAAACTCATCATCACTATAATTAATTTTTTTCTTCATAAGTATGCTTTTCTTTCGTAACAAAATATCAAGTTTTTCTTCTTTATAAGAATTTTATTTTTAAATTTTGCAATCAACTATTATTTTACTTTAATGTGAGAAATACTGTTGTTAAACTCATGAATTTCTAATTCAAATATAGAATCACAAGTTATATAAGTATAAAAATATTCTATTATCAAATATATATATAGTTTAAATATCAACGCATATAATATAAATCAAATCATTATTAAAGTCCAAATAATCCCATTTTTTAAAAATTTAATTGGATATTATTTGTCTAAACTAAATTAAATTTTAAAATGATAATAATAACTAAATATTTGGAATATTATTAACAATGTAAGAATTAATAACATTATATTATATAAAAAATTTAAAAATTAAAAA